ATGGGGGTTTCGGTCACAAGCGAACACTTTGTCCTTACCTAACATAAATTTTGTTTTTTACATTCTTAGGAAATTCGAACGTGCGGTACTCGTTGCCCCGGTTCCCTTGAAGGTATATCCCTTTATCTGCAGTCTTAAAGTTTTTAACTGCTATTCTCCGTATTAAACTATTTCTTACATGGAAATTTAGTTTTCAATTGATTAATTAAAGAATGATGTAATATATGGATTTTCCCAAGGCTAAAAGCGAAGCTCTGCGGACGGAGAGGTAGACGGATGGACGATCGGACGGACGTACTGTCACGTGACTACCAAAATTTATTGGATGGTTAGATAACCAAATTTTCTTAGCTATGGGGCTCCGCACACGCGGAGCGCAGCTAGGACGTATTACTTACCAAAGCCACAAATGCTGAGGTGGCGCCCGCGTAATGCCCGCGGCTATCTCATACTTGAACAGATACAAAAACATATCCTAATTAGTTCATCAAGAAATATTTAAAGCAAAAATTAACTTGAGGATAGAAAATCTTCACGCTTACCAGTAACATTTGCAAGATCCGGAGTCCATTATAAGAAAGTTAACGTATCCGTATTACAAATTTCATATTCATACTGACCTTTGACTCCGTCCCATTTAAAGGTGATTTGAACCTCAGCATTAGCTCTCTGGACCCCTTTAGTAGGTGGTAAATTTCATATGTCGCAGTTTTTTACCTTTACTAGCCGCGTTTCTGTCCGATTGTTTAATTTTACCGAGTTCTCACCAATGACCCACAAACTCAGCAAGTTGGAAACGATGAACAGCGTCCATTTTGGCGGTCCAAATACGAGACGGCAAAATGACCGAAGACTGCTTTGAATTAAAAATTGCAATACCTACATGATAATTTGTTCAATTTAATTGAAATTTGGTCTCTATTTTCAGCTCTTTTCCTCCCTTTAGGTTTGGATTTAAAAAATACTTTTAATCAGCGGCTTTGATTTATGGGTAATTATATTGAGTTTTACTCCTCCATTTGTCCTCCTGATCAGCACAGCAAAAGCAAATCGACGTAAGCCATAGGAATGTTTAGAGGTGGAAAATAATCACATTTTCAAGGCCAGCATTCTATAACAAATTGCTAATGCATATGGTGAAAAATAAATTGAAAAATATGATGTTAGCTTTTATTTAAGTACACGTATTGAAATAGATATTTTGAGTCGGCTATAAACTCTTGACCATTCACTATCGGCTTATTTGATATCTTATCTTGCAGAAACAAATGAAGCCGATTTCCAGTTTTCGTTTCCTAATAAAACCGTCCACGACTACGTTCATTTAAACCTGCAGGATTACAATCCAAGTCTGCCGGCTTTGACTGAGTTTACCATCTGCCTTTGGATAAGAGTGAGCGACCAATCAGATGACGGGGCTTTGTTCAGTTATTCACTTCCGGATGAACACAATGAGATATTGATCACCGACTACACCAGTTTGAGGTTTATGATAAATGGTTATCTAAGGTAAATGGCAATACTGTGAACTTCAACCCTTTCTTGATTAGCCCTTGGAACAGGTGTTATTTTTCGCTTTTTCGGGTGAGCGTATGCAGGCGCGAATCGAACGGGGAGCGCCAAACACCCTCGACGCGGAGAAGGCACAGATACAAGCGATGGGTAGGAGGTAGCTTGCCACAAGTCGACCTCACGAGTTTCACAGCAGGTCAAAGGTCTAAGGAGAAGGACGACGGGATAAACAATTTTTCCGGCTCCTTCCCCGGTTCCGTCTCGCTTCGTCTGGGGCTCCTCACTCGCTTCGTGCTTGCCTTCGCTGAGGCTACCTCTTCATGAAAAAATAATAAACTCTGGACAATCTGCTTCATTAATGTCGCCATAAATCTTAACCAGTCCATATATATTTGACATTATTCTTTATTTTTTATATCGATTCTAGCTCTTATAATCAAGTAGCCAGTGAGTTGATGCCTTTAATAACTGTCTTGGCTGACACAAAAGTACACACCTAATTAATCTGTTTTTAGAAAATGTTTATAAAATGCTGGAAACGCCGTTCCCAGATTTTCAAAAGCTGTACTGACAGTGACTGAGAAATGGGGAGGGGAGGGGACGGTTTGCTTTCACACGCTGGGGGATTACTCCCTGGAAAGGGGGCTTATTTTCGCCGCTTTGGCTCCTTGCCCTTTTACTTACGAAGCATGACCTTCCCCATAGCCCATCCGAACGAACAAAAGACAACGATCTAGAAAGTGTTACAAGACAAAGGTTATTGTTTTAACCACGATTTTTTTCTAACCTGGACAATGATTGGTTGTCGAAATACCAACGATTTTTCTCCGGCTTGCATTCCATCATGGAATCGGGTGCCATGTCTAAACTTACTTCACAAAGGGCAAATTTTACCTTAAAGTTGGCCAGAAAGCTAAAAAGTAACAACTCTATGGTCAATCATAAAAACAAGGTTATCAACATAAAATTTTCACGTGATTTTTGAAATGTTTCAGAACATCTGAAAGAGCTGTCAACGATGACCGGTGGCATCACATTTGTACAACATGGGAGAACACCGCTGGTACATGGAGCGTTTACATTGATGGCGCAAGTGTTGCTCAGGGAGATGAGTTTGAGACAGGTCACGTGATTAGCAGTGATGGTACTATCATTCTCGGCCAAGATCAAGACAGCCACGGTGGTGAATTTGAGCAGGTTCAAAGCTTTTCCGGCGAGATGTATGGAGTGAACATGTGGAATGCAGTCCTCTCGGAAGAGGAAATTCTGTGCATGTTCAGAAGTTGTTCCTCTGGAATAGGCAATTATCTAAAATTTACTGATTTCGTGGGAGGCTCACATGGAAATGTCACCAGGAAGTCTTCGAACACTTGCTTTCCCTAAACATTTATCCCTCATAATAATCCGAAGGGTGTCAAAATCGAAATTGAAAACTGCACAAAAAGAAAGGAACTGGCAAAATAGAATTCAAAAACAAATTTGGGTAGAAATGCGGAAACGAATCATTAGAATTTCTTTAGAACTATTTTAAAGCTCACGCTTGCAGTCTAGGTTTCTTTGAAATAATTTATTTGAAAAGCAATCTTGTTGATATACAGGGCTCAAATCAACAAATCTATTTGTCAATTAATCGAGAGGGTAGGCTCGACCAAACGTTTATTCCATCTTCAGCTTTAAAAAATTTTCCCTGACTGTTTCTTAATCAAACAGCAATAAAAAGAGTGCGCACAGAAAGATTAGTGAGGGCCCTTTTTAATTTATCTTCTCTCTCCTGATATCACTCTCGCTCGCTCTGGGGGTGCAATCCTCTGTCAGGGGTGAAGAGTTCGTCATTATTCCAGGTAGGTCAGCTACCAGGTCTTTTGAAAAATGCACTATTCTCTTGCCTCGTCCAGCGGGATCGCACAACGGTGTTTGACGTTTGTATATAGCCCCAAGCAAAACATGGCTCAAGAAGACTCGGAGTCTTCCTATAGAATCGGTTCTTCGGGTCATTCTCTTAATTCTTCTCGTCCCCTTCTTAAGAGTCACACCCGGAAATAAAACAAAGTGTTAATGTTTCCAAACGCTCATATCCTATGATTTACCAACTGAAAAAAAAAAAACTGACAAAAACAATAATGAAATATCCCATGCACCTTTAAATTCTAATTAGAAGCCTGACGAGCTCTGGTGAGGATGATGTGCGAGCTTGGTTGGGGTTACTTAACAATACAATAAGTAGCTAGTCACATTCGTGATTGGAATTCTCAAATCTTTCCATTCAAATCTTGACAATTTTCGTAGCTAGAACTGACCATAAAGAAGGACAAAGCGGCCATATTATTTACTTTGCGAGTTAACTGCTTTTCTATACTTATACTACTACATGAAAAATTACTGCAATTTGATTGGTTTAGAGCAGTGGTAAATCAGCTTAATTTGAAATACCTACATGTGAAAATTACACACCTTTTGCGGGTAGTAGTATAAACAAATATTAGCATGATTTGTACGTGATATTTGGCATAAATACCACTCGTGATATTTCAAAATTGTCTCAAATTTCACTCGCCTAACGGCTCGTGAAATTACGTATGACAATTTCGAAATATCACTCGTGGTATTTATGCCAAATATCACTACAAATCATGCCATTACCTATACTAATTACATGTAGTATTGAAATACGACGAGTCCATAACCTGGAGCAAACAATTCTATTACTAAGCATATGTATTTTAAGCATCAGTCGCAATTTACAGTTGATTTTCCACTACGAAAATGGACAATGACAATTGAATGGGTGCCCATTCGAAGTATGATAAACTTTCTTTTCTCAATACCTAATTTTTGTTGACTAATTTGTGAAGAAGCTATTTGAGGTTGAGGGATAAATGAACAAAAAAAAAGGGTCAGCGAAAAAGACAGGTACAGAAGGAAAAAGGGTTTGCTGCCCAGGTTTACGGTAGTTAAGACTCCCCAATATATCATCTGATAAACCCTCACCCTATCATGACTTGTTTCAAGTGACCATGGTGGCCACCCAAGGGCTGGTGAATGGTCAACTGGCAGTTCGCGAGGCAGTTATCAACTGCGCAACGAAACTGCATCTCTTTTCAAGTTAGAAAGTAGTATCATCGCGTAACTGCCAAGTCATCTCGCTGTTCCACATGGTACGGCATGCAATCACTACCAGCACAAATGAGATAGCAAAGTGTCACTGAGTGACAGTGACGACAATAATCCACATCCACACGGAAAAGTGCGCGGGTTACTTGAGAAAAGGTCAACTGAAATTTTGAAAATTTTGGTTCTCAAACCTCCATTTCAAATTCAGTTTCAAATTCATTCAAGACCTTGGGAACAGGTTTGACGGGTTTAATTGATAACTGGAGAGACTCGCCGGCCACTCACCACCCCTGATTTTGAATCCTTTCAATTAAAACTACTCCTGCTGAATCCCGTATTATTCTCTTGCATGCACTAGACTTATTCAAAGATTATGTTCAGGCTTGATTTTGTTCGCAGTAATAGCCATCCAAAGCTGAATAGGATCCCGACGGGCAAGGTGTACAGGCCCCCTTGTTTAATGACCAGTACTGGCCATCTTGGCAGTGGATTGTGTTTGCGTTATTTCTCTGTTGTTGCTTTTTATTTCGCTTTCTTCCTTTACCTCTTCGTTTTGGATCCAGTAAGTTGATGCCTTTGTCTTTAACTTTACGTTGCAAGATGCAGAGCTTCACTCCAAATTTGATGGCGAAGTCCTGGTTCGCAGGATTTGGAATCCGGGCAGATTCGTAGCCAGATATAGATATTTTCCATTTCGAGTAGACCGATGGAAACAATGGTGTTTTTTGCAAGAGCTCATCACAGCTGTTGTCATCGACATTCAAGGGGCAGATCTTTGGCAGGTTAGGTCCGTAAGGATTGTTCAGCAAGGAACTTTCTTTCATGCAGTGCTCGGGTGCACCCCGTCCTTCGTTGTACTCAAAAACAGACTTCTTTCGTGGGACAATAGCATACCTCTTACTGGTCGGATTTGAGGGGGTAAAGTAATTCATCCCAACAGCTTTCCATTCGACCCTTACATTACGCTCATGCGCGCTAGATGACGGCAAAAATACCTCTAGGTTCTTAACAAAAATAGCAGAGTCGCGGTCACGGCTGTTTATCCATTTGTTGCTAACCAGCCAATTAGCATCAGGAATCTGGAATGACACAACTTTACCAGAATACAAATCAGACAGGAATTCAAGCTTATCATGGGGATCAATCGGAATATCTTTGTATTCTTCTACGTTTCTGCAGGTTGGACTGACGTAAGAAGCCAAGCTTGCAATATTAGTGTCCAGGCCTTCGCAGACACTGGGAAGAACTCCTCCTTCTTTGTACTCCAAGATGCTGCAGAAGTCATCTGTACTCTTCCATAGAGCAGTTTTGTAAACGACAAGAGAAGCTAACGTGGGTATTTTTACATCGTTTTGATCCACCACAGAGGGAAGCTGTTCGTAATTACCAACGATACTGTTAGCTGCTTCCACCGCAGTGGTGGCTCTCATGTAGCTTGCCATGGCCTCAATGAGTTCAAACTGAAAGTCATACACTTCTACATATGATTCAATCATTTTCTGCGCAAGAACTTTTGTTTTGGGGCATGCACGTTCCATCTGAATGTGTGCAATCATTGTCGCAGCAAGGGCTGTATCTTGCCCGAGTATAGTATCACATGTATCGTCAATCATAGTTTCCCACAATGATGTGAGGGCTGTCAACTCTGGCTTCCCCACTTTTGGATCGTACTTATTATAAAGACATAAAAATTTCTGCTTTTTTTCTTCAAAATTGTCCGTGGATGCTCCACTAGCGATACCCTGAACCAAACTGCGGACAACTTCAAGGAATTCAGAATTTTCGTTGAACTTGGCTTTGATACTTTGACTTTGGGTAAAGAGATTGTCCAGAGAATCCTTCATATAAAGCATCTCCCCCAATTCACTGAGAGTGTGAGCCAATTTATTAACACGATCTGCGAACTCATTCAAAGAAGAACTCACAAATACGGCTTCAACAGGATTCAAATAAGCAAAAGTGCTAACTGTTGATTGAACCAAGTCTTCAGCAGCTTCTGCCGAAGCCGCCGCAATTGCCCAATTTATAAGTCTCTCTAAACTACTTCCTAATTCGTCGGTTAAAGAGGCGACTTCAGAGGCATAATGTTCCAGTTTTGTACTTGCATAAGCAACATCAGAGTCAGCTTTGGCGCGATTGAAACTTTCTACCTTTTGAAAGTACGTTTTAAGACCATGGAATCTGTCATTAACTTCCTTTTTCAACTCTCCACTCAGCCAATCTGTGAGGATGTTCTGAGCATTTGCCTGATTTTCAACTGCTGTAAGGATGTTATTCATCTCATTCAAACTCAAAAAATTTGGATAGTCAATGTTGGTATTGAGAACTTTAGTAACTTTCCCATTTGCAGGAGGCGTACTGGAAATGGCGTAAATTTTCATTTGTATAATAGCCTTCCAGAACACACAAACACTCTTCTTACTGTTTCTCGGAAGGTTCCATGTCGTGTGACAACCGGATTTAATAGTCTTTAAATCGGGTACCAAAGACAACAAATCACGTAGTCGATCTGTTTGCTTGTTGCTAGTGACTTCAAAAAACACCTCCAGGTTTTTTATCATGAGGTCATTTGCTTCGTTGACTTGAGGGTATTGAACTTGTTGAAACTCAGATGGAAAGTTGTACTTAAGCATTAGAAAATGTAGGAGATATGCATTCCATTGAGGACTCGAGTCGCCACTACCTTTCGCAGTTTGGTACGAGTCAACCAGTTGAACAAGTTCTGGCAAAGATGAACAAAATACTTGGTCAGACGATTTCGGCTTTTCGCAAGATCTTCTAATCTCATCTCTAAGAACCTTTCCGCTATTTCCGACTAGAACTTTTATAAACTTTTCAGAAGGCAGAATCGTAGCCGCAGCCGAAGACAATGGTTTCCGTGCATCGAGTAATCCTTCAACTAATTTCACCTTCGCATTAATACTTTTCAAGTCTTTCTTCACATAAGGGAGACATCGTCGCATGAGCGGGTGTAATAACCAAAGTTCCACATAAACCTCTCGAACTTCATCATAGTAGACAGAATTGAAAAACTCATTTTCCATCGGTGACAACCTTTTATAGAAGAGGTAAGCACAAATATTCGGGTCTCTGCAATCTTCTAGTTTAGGAGCCTGAAAAACATTAAATCCTGGGATTTCCATCTCTAGTCTTCTTCCCATTTGAAAAATGGCTTTAAGGATTTCTTGATGAATAACTGCGTCAAGGTTATTCCCTTGATTTATAGAACGTAGATGGTAAAAAAAATTACAGAAATGTTCATAAGGGTCGGGTAGGTAGAGACTAGTGTAAGGCTGACTGATGTATTGGTTTCCATTACCGCTGAGACCAGACAACTGACCACCAATACCATAATAAAAGTTTCCTTGGTTTCCACCAAAACCGAGATTTCCGTTTGTAAGCTCAGGTAGCAGAAATGCACACGCCAGTGCGATGAAAATCTTCATAGTTGGGGTATGACCTTTAATTGAATAATAAACAAATTATATAAAGCTCATAGTGGAGCTAAATAGTCTGTGGATAAAATCCTGAAGTTTGACCTTTCAAGTGAAAGCTACTAAACAGTAATTTCCTGTGTTACGGCTGTTTATTATGCTGTACAAGGTGCTTCTTTGCACGTTATTGATCTTCGATACTGATACCAATCGATACGTTAATTTAGAAATGAAAAATTATGTTAAATATTGGCATTTTGATTGACAAAAATCTCTCGTGGAAAATACACATTGACATTATGTAACTACTAAATTAAGTAAAACGGTTGATTTAATCGCTAAATTGAAGCACTTTGTCCCTCAACATACCTCGCAAAATATTTACCGTGCGTCAATCTTGCCTTATCTATCCTTATGGTTTGATAGTTTGGGGACACTGGGCGTCAAAAACACATTTAACAAAATTAAATTAAAATCTTATTGCTTCAGAAAAAGGTTTCATATTTTTTGCCAACAGGAATGTTCATGCCATTCCTCTTTTTATTGACGCAAATATCCTGCCAATTAGCTCAGTCTCTATTATAAGATAGATAGCAAATTAAATCTCCGAAAATTAGTAACGTTTTTAACCCATGAGAGCTTTCCTGACCGTCAGCTAAAATGCTGCATCACGCAAAAGCCTGGAAATTCAAGCGTCGTCTATCGCAAAACGAAAAACTCTTTGGAACCTTTGTTTTGTTTTGTTTTTTTGTTTTTTTTTTTCACATAAAGGTTTTTAGGTGTTGTAATACTTCATGAATGTAGAACTTTAGAAGAATCTATTAAATATAGTTTCTTAGTTTGAATTTTGGTGACGTCATGTGAAAACCGAGAAAAACATATTTTTCTCGAAAATAACCTACTACTTCCACAGTAACCGTTGGAATTGTCGTAGTTCTCCTTTTTTCCCCTAATCTTTATTGCCTTTCTCTTTTTCTGAGTAAAAGCAGTAAATACTACTTATTAACCGAGAATGCATGAGGTCATTACAGAGAAATCTGGAACGCGCGTACTTAATTGTAGTCATATAATAATGGACCTTAAAGCCTAGTAGTCGTTATTTCAGAAATCATAAGTTACAAACTGAAAAAATAAAAAATTCTCTTAACCAGTTAATTGACTAAATTACTACATGCAGTAATGTTAGATGTGTTAATTTGTTGTTCAGATTTTATTTTGATCAGTAAACTGAATAAAGTCGTGAGCAAAACAACATTACTTTCCGAAGCTCGATAATTTTCATAATTTTAATTCCGAAAACCGTGATATAAGATTGGTCAAAACTTACCCACTCCTTGAGATGATCCACAAGTGATTTAAAGAAGTTCGAACGTCTCGCTCAAAAGTACAACGTTATTTACTCAGCGGATAAAGTCATGTTACAATTGCTCTGTTGTCTTCCCGAGTGAAGCGTTATCTACCTGCCCCAATGTAAACTGACTTTGTTCACTGAGTTGCGGAATACGTTAAAAATTTAACATTTTGCAACTATTGTCACTGTTTCATATACCTTTTTTTGCACAAAATAGACTAACTCCCATTTTTGCTTAAGAATGGCTTGATCTCTTAGCTTGTCACTTATGAAGCCTTGTCAGCGGAGTTTTTAGGATAAGGGATCACTGGAGAAATAATTGAACAGAGAAAGGAATAATTGACAAAATAAGTTTGGGGATAAAGGCGGAGAAGTGAAATATTTTTAAACATAATGAATTTAAATTTTGATTCCTCATTAATCATGATCAGATGGGGTCCTGTGATGATTTTTCTTTTTCCTTTTCTTTTTTCTTTTCCTTTTTTTTTTTTTTTACTTCCCTGTTGTTTCATTCTCTCACTCCTTTACTTTTTTTGCTAAAAAACGATTTTTCAAGCTAGTGGTGATTGCAAATATATGTTTGTGTTTAATGTTGAGGAATGAAATATATTTATAAAAATAAAATATAAATTTAGATTCAAAATAAAAAAAGAAGAATTGGGGTACTGTGATTATTTTTCTTTTTCCTTTTTTTTTTTTTTTTCTTTTTTTTTTTTTTTTTTTCACCTCCCGGGTGATTCAGTCTCTCACTCCTATACTGATCTTGCTAAAAAACGATTTTTCAAGCAAGTGGTGTGAAGAGAGAATTTTTCGGAGCCTGTTCATAGACCTTCTATTTTCTCTTCAAAGTCCGTCAAGCTCGGGTGATATAATATAACCCGCCGGGGATTTATTGACCGCCAGTGCAAGGGGGTAGTGGTGGAGGAAGAAGAAAATAGAAGCGCTTCGCGTTTGTTCTCGCGGACTCGCTTCGCTTGCGAGCTCGCTGAATACACAGTGTGTCCAATTCTCACATTGAAAGATTCTCTCGATTGGTCCCGCTCTAATAGGTCGCTTGACCTTTCTGTCCTCATTTCCGCACAGCTCGCTGTGACAAAAAATTCCTAAAGGAGGATAATTTCTCAATCGCTGTATTTTTTTATGCATTCTTTTCTTTTACTAGCCGTATGCAGGCGCTCGCGTTTGCCACATATTCCTTTATTTTGTTTCACGGTCAATTCGCAAAAGTCAATCTGCTCAGCTGTCAACGTGGGTAAAATTCGCAACTTATGATTGGTTATTACTGAACCCTTTTGGAAATCAGGGTTCTCAGAGTTGATCTAAAAATAACCGTCTAGAGAGATTACGATGGGGATAGGGCCTATAGGGGGAATAATTCTCCGTTCCTTCACCATCTTTTAGATGTAATTTCATTGCTTGGTAAGTATATTTCTGTGGTTGAGCCTTGCTTACTTCTCGAATCACGTCTTGACTGTACCCACGGTATAGTCTTCGATTAAACCTCTAAACGTTGGAGCCAAGTTCTGTGTGAAATTATTAACTGTTGCACCGCAAGTTTTAAACAGCTGTAATAGATATCCACTCTCCCGCAGCAAGCGAGTATTCACCAGGATAAAGGCCTTTACCAACGATGTCACTTCATTGAAGGTTTCCTCCGTTTTTTCCATATCTGTTTCTGAAGGCAAAATTTCTTTCCACACTGGTGGTGATAAAGTTAAATACCTGTTTCACAGTCGAGCCGTTTTCGGGTCACGGCCCGTGCAAAAATTTAACCGAGATCTTGGCAAGATCTCTGAGATTGGTACGAGCTAGATGAAAGATATTTCGGCTAGACAGATCACTGCAAGGTGATAGAGATCTCGGTGAGATCTCGTCGAACCCAAGGGCCTGTTTACATGGAGGTGGGGGGCCCCAGGTAGGTGAGGTAACCCGCTTAGGTGGGGTGACCCGCCTGTCCATATAATCTCTCAGTTTAACGTGATCACGTTTACATGTTAGGCGGGGTGACCGTATAGCCGTATTTGGTTAGTGAATGCGTGATATAGGTACGTGCACTGCGGACATGAGTTGTTCATTAGATAATAATTCCTTTTAGCCACTGATCAGTTGCACATTGGTTAACTCCTTTTTAAGCTGATGTAGAAATGATACATCAAAGGGGGAGCACTGGACAAAGATCCCACAAAAATGACATACCGGCACTGAAATTGTACCAGTTATTCGTCTAACTTTATAGGCAAAAAGAAGAGAAAGACTTGAAATGTACACTAGTCAAATCAATGCAGATGCATGGACATTTTAAGACTGAGACCAATAATGAGTCGTGTAAGGGTAAAACTGAGCTGTGACAACTACCGACAAGGAAACTTTGGTAAGTTCATTAAATCGAAATTCAAAATTCTGACTTGTGTTGTTTTACTTGGACGGTTAAACACAATGAGGGGAATATCAGCAGGGGATTATGACAAGGGGAGTACGAGCATTACGATGAGGGGAATATGAGTAGGGAAATATATATTTCTATCAACTATATATCTAGTGTCTCTGCCTCGTATTCCCCTGTTACATTCAAAACCACCACCAACTTTTCAGACATTTCATATTTGCTTTTAAAATCTGTTTTGATCAGATTTTTGTAGTGGAAATTTTTGGGGGAGCTAGCTTTCAACAGGAGATGCAGTTATGACCAGGCTGTTTTTTTCAAAATTTATGCCACACATTTTCTTATGTGGCCGCCCTTATGATATAACAGCAAGCTGGCAAAAAGCATTCCATTGTTTCAAATCCTTACCCATTCATTCAAAAATCACCCTTTAAGTACTTCATCATGCTCTTACTTAAATCTGTGGTTTTCTCAATAATTATTCGTATCCACAAATTTGCATAATGTCATTTTTAATTGGCAATCGCTGCCATTCGCTGGTCTCCCTTGTCTAGACTAAAATCTTTAAACAATTGATCAGTGTCCTGGAAAATGATACCCGATTCTAGACCCAAACCCTCTGATTTATATACCCTATCCCAAAGTAAACTGCTTGAAAACCATACCCTGCACAGTGGCACATACATGTACCTTAGAATAAATGGCAGTACCCTCCCCCCTCCCCTGGGGGAAATATGTACTTTTGTATGTGAGATACCTATTTTTAGAATACAGCTGTAGTTCATAAATATCATCAGTGTTACAAAATGATTCGTACCTGCACTGTCAATCATCAGAGTTACTTGCTTTTAAAATCTTTGGAGGTTTCAACAGGAGATGCAGTTATGACCAGGCTGTTTTTTTCAAAGTTTATGCCACGCATTTTCTCATGTGGCCACCCTTTTGATGTAACAGCAAGGGGGTTAAAAGCATTCCATTGTTTTTAATCCTTACCCATTCATTCAAAAATCACCCTGACTATTATTTTCATCATGATCTAACTTAAATCTGTGGTTATCTCAAGAATATTATTTTTATCCACAAATTTGCATAATGTTATTTGTGTGTATATTTTACTTTTTCCCAGGGGTACTTTAGGAATTTTTGGGTGGGTACATGTATGTATGTACCGCTGGGACCCTTGAACCCTTAGCCTATACCAGAGCTAGTTCAAGTGAATTTTTTCTACCCTATAATAGACTAAATTCCCCAATGCCCCCTATTTGAGAGTAGCCATTTTCCAGAAAGGAAAGAGGTCACTAGCACATTCCAGCCAAAACAAAACTGATTCATTCGAAAATCACCCTGACTACTTCATCGTAATCTAACTGATTATCTGTGGCTATCTCAGTTTATTCTTATCCACAAATTTGCATAAATTATGTTATTTGTTCGTATATATTACTTTGGTTTGTGAGATACCTATTCCTAGTAAATAGTTCCTAAACATTACCAGTGTTACAAAATAATTCGTACCGTCGATCATCAGTGTTATTTGCCTTTAAAATCTGTTTTGATCAGATTTTTGTAGTTTCATTGTCAGTTATGGGAGGTTTCAACAGGAGATATGCCAAGAGTTTTCTATATGTGGTCGCCATCATGATATCACAATAAGCTGAAAAAAAAAAACATTGAATTATTTTCAAATCCTTACATATTTAATAGACAGATGTGATGTCTTGTTTTACAGCTATTTGAAAGCAGGGGAAATTTTTCATTTTGGTAGCAATCTCTTGCACGTAAGCTTTATTGTACTATCCATGCAGAGTACCTTCTTGAGTTTACCTGCAATGGGCTTGAGTTTACTTGCAATGGGCAGTTTTATTCTAATCAGTGTCTTATTTTTTACCCATCCAAACTTTAACAAGAAAACAGATTAATTAGCCAGTACTTTGCTAATGCTACACACACGTGTTAAATGGTTACTATTAATAATCAGTTAGAAAACGTACCAACTATCAATAGTATGCTAAATTTACTTTGGTGGCCATTGTAGAGACATGGCCATGCAATATTGCGGGGGAGATGGACTGACTTGTGAGACACCATTTTTGGGGAGTAGAACATGTTTGGCTATATAAAATGGTTTTTCTAGCATCTTGACAAGCAACACCTTGAAAAGAAATATTGAAAAGCAGACAACAAACAAAATATTGGGCCACCACTGCTATGAAAAAAGGTGGTCATTAGTGGAGGTTTGACTATAGTAGCAATTTCCTTTAAGTCAATCTGATATAGGGAATAGGGATTTCAGACAAATTATGCCTTCAACGAGCTTATAAAAAATTCTTGCTCAAACTACACCCCCCACCCCAAAGTATGTTGCGATCCCGAATACGATGTAGTGGATTGTTCAAGAGACGCCAGTACTACCTCAGTGCCACAATCGTAGAATTAACTTGACTCTTTATTCGTAGATTCATTACATTGACTTTTATGGCACGTGGTGAAAAAACTACAACAAGATGAAAGACTACAATAAAAATACAGCTTGAATTCGAAAACTGACAGGAATAAAACATTGAAATCACAATCACTTATGCTGTCCAACTCCTAGCGATGCGTAAAAGAAATGATAAAGTGAAAAGAAAAGGCTACTCCAACAGATGAAAGGCTACTCCAACAAAAGATGAACTCCGCATAGATCTCTTAACTCCAAGAGCCTAATTTAAGCTATCCTGTTACATTTAACAGTCAGTGAATCAACAATAATTAACTCAAAGGGGAGCAAGCGTGACTCTCGTAATAAAGTAAACATAAACAATATTAAATGTATATTAAGTAAGTTTTATGATTCAGTCTCTCGAATTCTATCAATAGTTCAATCTAAACTTTTTGGTTTGCAGCCATGCTAACCGGCAGGCCGGTGGCGATATCGGTGGTCATTACAATAAATATATACCTTTTACTAGGGAGGTCAATTTCGATGATACATGACATGAAATGACGTATTAATTAGTTTGTATTTGTGATCATTGAAAGGATAGTTTTGGTCAAGCAGTTAAAAAAGGTTTAAACCAAGCTAGCAAAAATAATAGAGCTCCGAAATGTTGTTAATATCTATGTTTAATTGTTCATTCATACTATTGTTTTGTTTCTACTGAGCTAAAACTCCCCTGGGTAATTCTTCATAACCAGCTACCATTGACCAGTTTAGCAAGCCATACATGCCAATATCAGAACAGTTGAAACCACTATTGTACTAATAATTGAGAAAAAGGGACAGCAGGAGCATGATAGTTCAACTGCTTTGGTAGAGATATTGAAAATGGTGGAGATTCAGTCTCAACTCTTATGTAGAACAAATAAGCAAACTACTGCCTAAAACAAATAGGTATGAACTGCTATTTTAAGAATATCATTCTGTAATCTAGACTTAACATCCTTTTATGTTTTGAAACTGCCAAAGAACACAAAAATATATCGTATTATGAACATGAAAGCAGCAACTTGCATATTTTATATATTTTTAGGTTTTACCTTGGAAACAATTTTGAGTGAATATTTTGAGTGACGGTCATTAGTAAGAATAATTTATGCAGCTTTCAAGTGTGCTCGATCTGCATAACACTACGTAAAACAGCTAGTGACTCCAAACTAAATTCAAATGGACGATATGAAACTCCATAGTAACTTTCACTATTAGAAAAACAAAGGTGATAAGAAAAAGACTAACTAATTTGTCCAACATTATTCAATTTATCAAAGTGAGGTTGTCTATTTGTAAATGATTTTCACTTAAAGAAAGAAAGGAGGGTTTTTGACCACAAGAGTAACAACTTAAAGAATCGACTAACAACTTAAAAGAAGGAAGCATCTTGGTTAGAGGAAAAAAAACTCACTGTAAAAGTTCAAATTCGGTGGTGAAAAAAACTTGAAAGGAGACATTAACATAATACATGTATCTGTTTTCCCTATTTCTAGTGACTAAATCTCCAGCCCCGCTGTGAGAGTAAATTCATTCAGGAGATGACCCTATCATAAGCATCATACTAAAGCAAGTGTGTCCATCCCAACTGAAGAACTGGGTCAAGAATGGCAAGAATTTATTAAATTTGAAATTGTGCTAAACTCATACAGGAAAAGCTCTCAGATATGGAAGTTATGTAGCGGCAATAAATATCCGCTCAAGGTTCTTTTGGTTGTTCACATTCTATATTCTTTGACCCGTAGAAGCAATTCCGAAGATAAGAAATACTAATTGGAAAACCTTGACTGGCCAGCAGGCGCCTATCTGAGAGGAACTTTCTACTTACAGTGGGAGCTACCTTGCATGCATTCGTGCAAGCATTAAAGCTTAAACCAACGAAAGCAAGGAAAATTGTGTAGGGTAATTAAAATTACCAAAAATAAAGCCGTAAGTACTCACCTTAACGTGCTTTTTTTCTTCCATTCGGCATTGAGCTTTTGCTACTGTACAACAGGCAAAAATAGCGATAAATATGGTTGGCCATCCGTTTCAAAATTATGACATCGTGTACGTGGGCTTTTTTGCCGCGTATAATCGTTTATAATCGCTATGTATGCTCTATGCTAGCTCTTGTAGTGATATGTATCTTGTCAACTAGTTCTTACAGTTCTCCCACAACGGATCTTATGGGGCGAACTGTCGTGCAAGAACTTGCTCTTATCGCCAGCATCTCCCATCTGTTTAATAAGTATTGAAGTTGCCTCAACAGTGATTCAAGCTCTGGTATTCTGACATCATTTCCTTGATCGTCTGGGTCCAACGACTCTACCAAACGACGAACTGAATCGACAGCTACCTGAAGGCGGACTACCAAGTTTTTAGCCATGTTTCGATCGGCGTGTGGATAAAACCTGGAGCAATCCCTTAATAGACGAGAAACCGTCTCCAGAAGATCCGTTGTGGGAGAACTGTAAGAACTAGTTGACAAGATACATATCACTACAAGAGCTAGAGAGGAAGCCATGTTTGCATTGCGAAAGGCACTTTTCATTGCCACGATACATGAAACCTATTCCGTTAGAGGCACTTTTCGTGCCATCTTATACCAAGTCTGATTTCTGAACCCCGCGTATATGCACATTTTTGCACGCGTATACGTGGGCTTTGACAGGTACGCATATATACGGGTTTTTAGCAACGCGTATAGACGTGCATTTGATTTTGCACATATACGCGTATTAAATACGCGTATATACGCGATATAAATGGTTGTATATGGGATAAAAGCCCATACATAGCGATTATAAACGATTATACGCGGCAAAAAAGCCCACGTACACGATGTCATAATTTTGAAACGGATGGCCAACCATAGATAAACTGGGTCACTGCACTGATGACTTCACTTGCGAACTCAAAGCAATGTAGGAAGCAGTTTTGCTTCGACCTCAGTTCTGATTTCATGCTTGTCCCTCACACATTCATTAATTTAACCGGTGGAAAAATCAGCGTATGGAAAAGATCTGAAAGGTCAATCCGCACGTTCAAAAACCGTTCATTCCAATATGGCCGCACTCGAACGGGACGATGAAAGACTGGATCCTAGCACCCTAGTACCCGTGCTTTGACGGTTTTGGCGCGAATTTCTAAACGCGTCTGCCAAACTCTAAAGATGACGTGAAAAGGCTGAACAGAGAACAATAACAAATACAAGAGTCTTTTTTTCCGCACATCGATTTGTAATCCTTTTCTTCGATGAAGTTTTTATTCAGTAAAATAATCGAAAAGGTAAGTGCTGTCCTTTCCCTTGATAAATGGGGTTTGGCTTTTTATTTATTTTTTACCCTTTTTGTGGAAAGATGTCGATAAGCTAAGTGTGGTTACAGAAACGAACTACATTTTAGCTAGCCCTTCTTCTTAATATACTAAACAGGTTGATGCTTGATAAATAAAATTTAAGCTAAGGCCTTTACATAGCGTTCGCTATTTTTTTAAAAAGGGAATTGATGCATCTGCAGTGATATTATCAATGCTTTTGAGTTTTTACTATGACCACCGTTTTTCTTAATTTTATTTTTCGTACGTTCATTTGAAGTTGAGCTGTTAATTGTTTTAAACAATACTGCGGCAAAAATCTTGCAAAGAACACTATCAGTTTAAGGTTTATGAATTCACTGATGATTATAAATAATTATAAGCGCTAATCAGGATTGATCGCAAATCCTTTTCTGTATTTACCGTCCTATGTCTTATGGAGCATCTTTTGGTGTTTTAATTTCATAGCTCGATCTCGGAGCGAGCTGAGGCGTGATATCGAAGACAAAGCATTCCGGCTGTTCTGAGTTCTGGAAAGCGCCCTATGTTGAGGAGTACTTGTTCCCCAACAAATCTACATTTTTAATAATCCACTGATTATAAACTAATTCGATGTTTTGAATACACCACAGTGACAATGCAGTTCAAATGACAGGCCATTTTTTCAGTTGGATCATGCAAACCTTCCGGTAAGTGATCATACTTATATTTTTTGTAAGCTTAGTTTTTGTCAAATAGTTTCTGAAATGATTGATTTTTTAGGTACTGGAGTGAGAAAGTGAATTCCTAGCTAGGTTAATATTAAGAAAAGGGTTATATGAGCTGCCCTCATGTGGTATTAAAACTTAATCCTTAAACACAGTTCCATCTACTAATAACAATACAGTATTTGCTACAGATGAGGAGTTTTCTTTTCCTTTTTAGCTTCAGTGACGAGCACCTCTGTGCTTTATTTCAGATTTTGTTTTCCAACTTTTTGCAAAACAAAATAGCTACTTTTTTCAGTCACCTACATGACTATAAAAACTACCTAACTTATGTGGTTAAATTCTTTTCTTATGAACAGTAATAAAAACTTCTGTAAAAATGGCCAAGCTGAATCAAGCACTCAATATACAGCATTCATTCCAGTTCATCTGACAAAAAGTTTGTGGTTATTTGAGGACTACTGAGTGTGAGTATCTCTACATTTTTTTAAGTTAAGAAGACCATCATCAATCAGATCATCAATCAGGTTCTGATTGATTACGAGAGCTTAAGGTGTTTATTATTCTTTCATTTAATCATGTCTTTCAACTGCCTTGGTGATAATTTTGATTTTTTTAGTTCCTGGGGACGAGGTTAAGTCGTTTTGGTTGTGAAAACAAAAATGGCAGACATTTCAGTATTTTCAAGAGTAACAACTGGGCGAAATAATAGCTAAAAACATGGCAAGAACAGCAAGAAGACAACTCGAGGGGCGACATCTGGCTATTTGGAGAAGAGGCAAGCATGTTTTAGCTATGTTTTTAACTAGGAACTATTTTGAATGAATAACAATTATATATTGAATTCGGTTTTCGCATCATACGAAGAATTATGGAGATCTCAGAGGGTGTTATCCGCCCCGGCCTACGGCCTCGACGGATAACAACCTCCTCGATCTCCATAATTCTTTATAAGATACTGCGGCCTCATTCATTAATTGTTAATTCACTGTAACAAGCTCAACAAAACTAAAATATGCTTTCGGCAAAAAAATAGAGAGAGTTTAAAAATAGCGGAATATCCACTCCATCAATTGATACGTCTAAGCCGGCGTCTAGAGATCCATATCACTCTTTTAAATCCCAGCATCGATGTCAGAATGCCTCGAATGAATTGAATAATTTTGCTCCTTTTTGCTAATTCCTAGTATTTGGATATTCTCACAGTGGGCGTTTAAGATAGAGGCGTTTATTTGGAAGTGGGCGTACGGTATATTGTTTCAAACTCTGAGGCTGCACCGTCAGGCGAAGTCAGATTCTGGATCAATCCGTTTAGAAAAAAAAAAAAGAAAGAAAGAAAGGGGAAAAAAACTTCCTGAGGGAATGGCATCCATTCCTTTCCTTCTCCCCTGCGAGAGAGTGTTTGTGTTAACTAAAAGAAGCAAAAACTCAGAGGCAGTTTTAGTTTTATGACATTAAGATCAGCCTGAGCGCTCTAAAGGATCCGCTAAAAAGATTTGACATCGTTTGTCTCTTGATCTTCTCCGGCTTAAGGCTTTCCGAAAGTCTTTCTTACCTAAAATGTATAAACAAGGATTAAGAAACGAAGTCAGAAAGCGAAGCCAGGTTGAGATGTGTGCCACAAGGGGATGTAGATCTCCGTCATTAAATATAAACCGAAGTATGAAGTAAGGTAACCAGCAGACTGTGTAGACCATTAACATGACGGCGAAAATGCTGATAACTTTTCTTTCCGCGTTTTTCATTTCTTCTACTTTTTGCCAACCAGGGTAGCTCTCCCTTCGTATGTTATTAATCTGCCGCGAAACTTCAAAGAAGATTTTTGAGTAAACAAAAGCCATACACATGAGTGGTGCAAAGAAAAATATTACAAGAGATACTGCGTCGTAGATGATCTCCTTTCGAATTAGTTCGGCTGTTGCCTCTTCGTAGACGTTGTGGCTACCTGGATCGATCCAGCTGAGTTGAATCAAGGCTATTATAGCTGACAGAATCCAGATGAATAACACAACAGAAAGGCATCTGAGGAGCGTTACAATTGACTTGTAACGTAAAGAGTGTATTATAGCCAGATATCTGAGGATAAAGAAAATGATAAATCAATTTCTGAAAGACAATCATATGACAACGTAAAAGAGAACAGGAACTTGATGCCAGAGACACTCATGACCTTTGGGAAGTAAAAGAAAAAAACTGCTTGAAAATTGACTCACTAATTCGCTGCACGTATGGGAAATCCTGTTTCCGGAATCTGGGAGTTTTTTGTTGTGGAATCCAAAATCCTGGGCTTTAGAATCCGGAAGACAACTCAAGGAATCCGGAAACACACTAACTGGATTGGAATTCGGTTTTCAGGTTCCACTGAAAAAAAAACCGGTATACACTACATGGAATCCGGAGTGTCAAACGTGGAATTCCACTCCATCATTTCACAGGCGGAATTACGGCTCAAGACAAATTCGTAATAGTGGAGTTTACGCTCATAGTTGCATCAAGGGTAATCAGGGCAAGAGGGCGGGAAATTAGAAGATTTGTAATAGAATTTAAAGCCAGATATTTCTTCCTGAGTTCATATATTTGATGCTTTCTCTTTGAAAAAAGTAACTTACGGGTCCAAAGAAACAATACACTAAATCTAAAGTGCAAAGAAGTCCGTGTTCAGTTTTTAGAAAACCTTGGTTTTCCCAAACATTGTCTGTAATGCGACAGCATCAAAATTACCTAAAGATGTATGGAAAAACTGAGGTTTCTAAAAACTGATCACAGACTTCTTTGCACTCCAGATTTAGTGTACTGTTTGTCTGATCTCGTTAGTTACTCTTTTGAACGAGAAAGCATCAAGTATATGAATTCAGGAAGAATTAGCTGGCTTTAAATTCTAATACAAATCTTCTAATTTCTCGCCATCTTGCCCAGATTACCCATGATGCAACTGTGAGCGTGAACTCCTCTATTGTTGGACATGGCTGGGCCCAATATATTGTGATTTGTAACTGGCGGGTAACTCAAATAATTCATTTGTGGCAAATCAAGATATTTTGTTAGCTGATGCAATTCTTGTTTCATCGTCTCCCTTCGGTAAGCTTGTTTTGTTTGGTAATTTATTAGGTAAATGCAGAGCTGCCATCTTGTTGCTCGGAGGGAAAGATCAAACCGCACATGCGCAGAGGAAAGTCTACAGCACAACAGCTTTTTCGTTACTGCGTAAGCGCATATCATTGTCTGTAGGCACTTATCTGTGACGTAAAGACCTTTAGAACTTTGAGTTTTAATGACAATGTTTTTTACCTGTCCACACTGATAACCAAAAGGTGACAGACAGTTGAAACAGAGGTAAACCGAAGCATCTGGTCGGCAGAAATGCAAAGCCCTGATTGGTGTAAAATACTGCACGTCATGAACAGCGGTGTGCTCGCCAATCCTGTCAGAAGGTCAGAAAGGGCCAGGCTACATAGCAACAGGTTTGTAATGGTTCTCAAGTGTTTTTTCTTTAATACCAGGATTAACACCAGTCCATTGACAAGAACAATCAATACTCCAAGTATAATTGGCGGAACGTCCTCCTTTGCACTGAAGCTCAGCGTCTTATAGGACCCGGATGTGTTATTTGACTGGGAAAGAGAGCTGTCTTTTTTGTCGCTACTCATGGCTATGCATTGAAAATTTGCGTAACGTTTCTCAAGTTAAAATACCTAAGGATGCAAGCAAAGCACAAATTCTTAGGGGTGGCCATAGATCCTTTTTAATAAATTCAGTGGTAAGTGGACATACAATTAGATCGATCAAAAGTCAATTGCCGCATAAGAAAATCCTACAGGGGCAATAAAAAAGAACCTGAAAGCCCAACAAAAACACACATAGACAAACATAACAAAATACTACAGCCAATCAGTAGGGTTTCCCATTCCAGATTTTGGATTGATGATCCACCCTAGGATAAAGAGTTCAATTTTATTAACGAAATACAGTAGCTCCTCTCAGGTGTATAATTTTTTTCTTTTATTAACAGTAGAGACAAGCTATATGAGTTGTTTCTGCAGTCCGACACCAAACATATTTTCTTCGTTATTGATCCTTCAGTCTCACTTCTAAATAAAGCATAAAAGTGATCTTTTGCCTTTTTAGCCCAACCAGCTTTGTAGTCCCCACCGCTATAGACAACGGTAAATGAAAATGTTATTAAATCTTATTTGTTATTTGTTGCGCGGAATATTGTAAAGATGTTTTATGTCTCAATGAAAGCTTCCGCGATCTGGTTAATTTCTACTTGGGAAACCCATGCAATTTAGCCTAGCCTAACTATATTATATATACACGATGGATAATATAGGCAAAGAGATGATTTTTATTTCCAAACGGAAAAACGCTTTCAAAACAATAGAAAAGACATTGAAAGCCAGCTTTACTCAAACAGAAGTACACTAGGAGAAAATCGAGATTTATATATACAGATTAAAATTACTTTAAATGTTATGAGGAATCATTGCGTTTCAAAGGTTCCGGCACTCTCAATTTGCCTCAGGAACAAGTAATTAAAAAGCCAAAAATGTCTCTTACAAGCTTAAAGAAAGTGGCAAAATGTTCACAAAGATCAAAAGGAAAACGATTGGCAATCTTTTTGGTATTCAATGTAAAAAGAAATTATGAAGCGAACGGTCGGCCCGGAGCGCCGCGAATGATTTGTGGGACGAAACAAATATGGACCCTTTTATCCATACAGTTATTCTAGTAAAACAAGTTCTCTTTAACCTCAAGTCTCCCCCAAAATATGATAACAAAGAGGAACTTTTGTTGTTACTGAAATACGACAACGAATACTTACGGTTAATCGCAAATTCGCCACCTCTTTTCCGTCTTGCACACTGAGTGAAAAGAGCCCATTCTTAACTGTAGATGATTTACATGAAAAATTATGGAAACTGAAAGGTAGCAAGTTCTTACGTCAACAAATTTGTTTATGTACAATGTCGAACTTATTTCCACAAAAACTATTAAGTGATTGAACTTCTAAGCGACCGACAATAACAATGCTTTCATCTGCTGTTCACAAGGAAAAAAACTGGCTAAGTTCATCCCGAGTGTAAATTGTATGGAGGGATCAGTAATTAATATGCCTTTTTTAGTAAGTATTCAAGGTTAGCCTCGAGCGGATTAAGTTGGTTTGAATGTTGAATCTGATGAATTTTTTTTTTTTTTGTAAGAATCAAGTTATTCACGTTTTTCAGTTGTGACGTTGATAGTGTTTTATTAGACTCGAAAGCGATTTTAAGGCTACCATTCTTTTCGTATGTTAACAATGATTTTATTGTAATAATTTTTAGTTTTTCACATTAATTTGAGGATGTATATTACCTTACACCCCACAGCCGAGGTTGAATGTAATTTCCTGAGGTGTGAAAACAGCTGCAGTTTAAACTAATATTAAAAGCGACATCAACGGCTTTTTCCTTAAGTAATTTTTTTCTAATCTCGTACTTGGAGCAAAATCCTTTAATTTTCCCTTTTTACAAAATATAATCAATTTACCAACGCAAAAATTTGGATTTATCAACAGGGTTCGTGAGGAAGGAATTCAAAAACGGATTTTTCGCTACCACTAATTTTTGTACAGTTCTATCTCGCTTAAATTTGTTACTGTTCAATATTTATTTATCAAAGTGGTTTTCCTTACACTCGTCGTGAGTTTGGTTGTAGTATTCAATAACAGTTAAAAATAAGGTCTCATCGAAGTCAGAAATATATAAACTACGAATTATTGATCGCAATCGGTTTGGCTGACTGATATATGGTGCGAAAGTTACTGGCTTTCACACTGCACTAAACTTAATTATTCCAGTGCAAGGCCGTTTATTCATGAGTTGTTCCCTTTAATTAGCTTCGTCCGCCTGGGGACGTTCTTCTGTTTACAAAACACTATTAAGTAGGCTGCATAGTTAACGCCTGTTAAAACGAGTTGAAGGTGTTGATTAGAAATCAGCAAGGGGTTTTCGATTTCGTTGCCAACCTCAATAAACCAGACGAAAAAATCCATAATCTTGATTCATGTTTGAAATATTTGCTTATCATAATAAACTGTCCACACGGTTGTGATGATGAAAATATTGTGAGTCAAATAAGTATGTCGCACGCCAATTCGCTTCAGCCACATTAGAATGTAAATTTACAATGCATAAATCATAGGATTCTCTGCTTCAGTAACCAAGGCAACCATAAAGTAAAAGAAATGGCGCGTGGTGTACACTGATCATAACTTCCCCTTTTTTACCAGAACTTTTCCCTTATTTGACGCATTTTCCTCTTTTCGGTGACTTAAAAAATCAGCAGGGCTTCTAAACAGATTCTGGAAGACTGTAAGCCAGAAATCCGCATGAGAAGTCTGAGTATGAAGTAGATTTTCTACGAAGCGATTCCAAGGGGAGGACCATGAGTAAAGTGTTGAGGGAGGGAGTGGATTACCTACGGAAGGCCCCAGGTATTTAGATGATCATGAGAGGGTGTGGCAGAGCCCTATTCTTTGGAAGAATTGGGTTAATGTAAAGTAAAATGAGGTCCGTCTGGTGCGTGAATTTTTTTCTTTGGGTTTTGCTTTTTATGAACCTTTTTAGGGACATTTTCTCTTGCAGTTTTTTTCCTTTGTCAGGAGCCCATCACACGGAGCGAGCAACTTCCATGCGCTCGTGTCACCGCGTTTTTACGGACTAGTTTATTTTTAGAACGGTTTTGGCGCGAATTTTGAATATTATCTTTTAAATCCCACAAACTAGTCAGCAAAACCTACGGACCTGAAAATCATTTTTTGCCTTTTAATAACGTTTGGTTTTCCTTTTTGATATGTTATACTTCAAATGCGCTCATAGTCATGGTGGAGATTCTCTTTTTGCGGGAAAAAGTGCCCTAAAATGTGTCTAAAAATAAAATGCTCCGTAAAAGCGCCGTGACATAGGTCTAGCATGGGAGTTGCTCACCCCGGGTTATGGGCTCCTGCCTTTGTTTATTTTCCCCTACCTCCATTACCATTTTTCTAATGTTCCATTCCTAATAGAATACTAAAGTGATGACGAAATTTCTGAAATTATGGGATTTGTCAGGATATTCTGAAATTAAAGAACAATGTCCAAGAGGCCTACTTACCAAAAATGAGCATTTCGGGGTAAATTGTCTCTGAGATGTTAGCCGGTTAAACTCAGAAAACTCCATACAAACCCTTCTAATTTTTTTAGGGGGTCGACCCAAAAAAATTTAGAAGGGTTTGTATGGAGTTTTCTAAGCATAACTGGGCAACGATCTCAGAGACAATTTGCCCAGAAATGTTCATTTTTGGCAAGTAGACCTTTCGGGCATTGTTCTTTCAGAATAACCTGACAAATCCCATAATTTCAGAAATTTCATTTTTATGACGTCACACTTTAGTACTCTATTAAAGGAAGAGTTAGACTACTGCAAGAGAGAATAATATAATGAGACAGAGAAGGAATCTTAGGGCGTTGATTTCAGTAACTTTTTTTAGAGTTTGTAATTAAACGGTCTAATTCTAAGTCCTGAGACGTCCGTATATTTCTATCGATTGTTTTCAACGTCATCAAGTCGATGCGCGACTGGCTCAAAGCAATAAATGAGGAATGTAGTAATGGTGACTGTTGAATTCTCTCTTGACAACATTGAATGAAAGTTTGCGGACCTCTCTGAAAACCAACTTCAGATTAATTTCAAGCGTTCAATTGGTCTAAAAATAACTTTGGTGAAATTCCCAGACCCATAATGGCTGGACTGGGCGTCTCCGTCTGTGCCTCGTTATTTTCTCTTAAAAGCTGATATTCAGGGATAAGGAATGTAAATGATGGCATGAACAAGAGCTCCCTGTACTTCACCAACTAAAACCTTGGCTGAAGAATCACATTCAGAACGTTTTTTAAAAAAGGGACAGACACGTTGCCTCTGCAAAACGTAAGGGTAGCATAGAGTACTAAAGTGATGACGTCATAAAAATGAAATTTCTGAAATTATGGGATTTGTCAGGATATTCTGAAAGAACAATGTCCAAGAGGCCTACTTGCCAAAAATGAGCATTTCGCGGCAAATTGTCTACTTCTAATTTTTTTTTGGGTCGACCCAAAAAAAATTTAGAAGGGTTTGTATGGAGTTTTATAAGCATAACTGGGCTACGATCTCAGAGACAATTTGCCCCCAAATGCTCATTTTTGGCAAGTAGGCCTCTTGGACATTGTTCTTTCAGAATATCCTGACAAATCCCATAATTTCAGAAATCTCATTTTTATGACGTCACACTTTAGTCAGGGTCAGGTAACAATAATTTATCAAATGATTGTGGGATCCCTCAGTAAAATAAGGCCTTAAACTCTACTAAACATCTCAGTCTCCGTGAGTCAAGACACATTGTAAAGCAAACAAAATCGAGAGTTAATCTAGAATCCAGATGGAATTGACCTCATTTTCACCATTGCGTGCATTTCTCGACATAAGTGCTTGTCAGAAATAATCCTCCGGGTCCCTCGAAGAAAAAAATATTCTTCGAATCTCTTTACGGACACTAAATTGAGCTGACGACTGGAACGCGTTAATACCGACGTCTATTTTCACCTCGTCATGCAGACTTCCCAGTATTTAAGCTAAGTCCCAAGTCTGAGCTCTTTCAATGTCAAATTACAAGTAGATAAGGGCGGATTGTCTTTTGTTGAAACCTCTTCAAATCGTCTTGGATAAAGATATGTATCTTCACGGACGTTTTTGGTTATCCCCGCAAATAAGCTGTGCATACATCTCAGTCGTTCAAACAAAACGTACATGCAAATTTTGAAATTCACAAGCAACACTCGGGGAACGCTTGATATTCTAACTAATATCCTCTGATGTTAATTTTTAAAAACTTAAATATATTAGCCCCTCTTAGTTAAACATGAAATATCCCTAGCTTCGTTTCAGTGTGACTTATTCCCGGGGGAATTTTCATGGGAATTATTGCTGGGAGTGTGCCGCCCGGTTCTCCAAATCCTTACCCATTTTCGCACCCGTTTTCGTGTCATCATACTTAGATTAGAACGCTAAACAAAAAAAAAATTCTTAAAATTCATTTGGAATTGAAACGACAAATACGTCCACACACTCCCATATTTTTCTCGAAAACCATACCCAGACCAAAATGGGCACAGTCTATAGTCGTTTTCAGATTAAACAAAACGGCGCAAAAGCCATACCCTTTGGGGCGTTACATACCTATATGTCTTCAAAAAGGTTGCTCTTCTTACTTTTTGTGAAGTAATCAGTCTGTCAAATTGTTCACTCTTTCGGCCTAGTACTCAGAGCTTTGCCAGTGAACATAATTTCTCTTTGAGCTATATTCAAAGATTATTGATGCTTAGTTTCATCTGTCTTAATTAATGACCTTTCGAAAATTTTGTCTAACAACAGTGAATGCATCAACACATGCCTGGTCCAAGCAGATAAAGCGAAATTACCATTCTGTTGTTTTGATGGGAAAAGTAGTTTGACATTTTATCTCTATCTTTATTGTTATGACTGGAAATGTAATCTTCCCAACGGATCCATTAGTGTGGATCGGGTGTACTTCCGATATAATGGGAAGCAATTTATTTTTAATGCCAAAACCTTACAGATATGCTGCCAGGAAATGCTGTATAATATGCTAACTTTACCCCTTTCACCATCACCATTGAAATTATCAGTATTTTAGCATCGCGCAATTTGTTTTACACAGGCTTATATAGAGAAAAATAAATAATGAGCATTTTTTTGTTAGAATTTAGGCCATTAAACGAAGGGAAAATAACTTCATATTAATCTACCAAATAGCATGCATTCAACAATTAAGACATCTGTAAAATTAAACCTGTCAAAAATGCCGAAAAACCGCTTAAAATATATTTAGTTGCTCTCGTCAGGTACCAGCCGAAACTGATTTATTGACTTTGTCTTCCATTCCTTTTCCTCTCTGGCGATCCTTACTTTTCTAACCGTCTCTATTATTTTTATAAAGGAAAGCCGCAACAGCTTTGTCCGATACATACTGTGATTACTTGTCTTTCTTCAGTATGAAAATACAAGACCACTTAACTGATTTAAACTGATAAGCTTGAAAGGAAAAAAGTACGTAGTGAGGTACTAGAGTCGATAATAGCTACGAAACTTTTTAGATGATTATACCTCGGACGAGCAAATATATACCCTCACCGTGATACAAAGGTAAGGTGCGTTTGGGGAGCAGTCTTGAGATTTTGTAATGTTGTAGCTTCGTATTGCAAAGAATGTGTGATGACGTAAACATTATGGAATAAATTGCACTGTTGGGGACCAGTGATGTCATTTAAAATGGCTTCCCATCTTGGTTGCCAGCCTACGCATTAAGAGAAGATGAAGATTTATCAAACTAACTACTTAATCAATGATGGTAATGATATTGATAAATTTACACTTTTCACTCAGTAGTTCTTCTAATGTAAGTACTTAGCATTTCTAATTACAATTTACGCGTCGTCTGGTATCAACACAGGGTCCAGAGGAGATGTGTTTGTCGTTAGAACATCAAAAACCGTCAAAAAAATGAAATAATGGGTTATTTTGATCGCGTAGACGATTGCGTTACAGTTTCGTTACACATTCTGTATACCGCAAACCAAGAGACTGAGGGCTCGCAAGATCGGGTTTGTCGGTCGCCCTTCGGGCGACGTGCCGTGCGCCAGCGAGGCTATGGCTTGCAGTTATTGATTTTCAAAATGGCGAACAACAAAGTCGATCTGGGTCAGATAAGAAGCGAAGAAATCGTTTACAGTAGATTCATAAAGATCCCATTGGGCTAATTAATCGTGCTAAGCGACAAGTATACACATTTTTCAAGGTGAGACTTAAATTAAGTAATTTATTAATTCACACAAAACTCCTCTGGGCCCTGTGGTATCAAATGTCTGGACAAAGTCTCAATTCAGGGGCGGATCCAGGATTTTTTTTAGGAGGGGGTGCACTCGTCTCTTGCTCTACTTCAACACCAATAAACCACATAGTTTTTATTTTTTTATTTTTTTGCAGAATACCAGTTGTATTAGAAAACCGCAGGTCATCTCAGGGGGTGGGGGTGCGCACCCCCTGCACCCTCCCCCCAAATCCGCCCCTGCAATTGACTAAATCAGGGCCCACGGAGCAGTTTTTAAAGTGTAGGCGGCCGGTGACCATCTCTTTTGAAGTATAGGGGGGAGCGGCAAATTTGCCTGTTCTCTTGTGGCTGTTTACAACTGTCAGATTACTGAACCTTTCTTGGATCATTGCTGGGCGGAGTTATGTTTATAAATTTCAAGCAGCTGAAGAGTACCTTTCTCCTGCTGAGCTAGATTGCACATGCAGGATTTACCGATAGAAGTTTGCAGATCAGGGATCATGATACTAGGTTCCTTTAACGCCTTCATTTTCAGTATGTCATCGAAATGCGTCACATACCACATCATCAGCCGGTATAATTCGTTTTAAGGACCCGTAGTTCCGTGGAGTAGTCTTCAGATTTAATCGAGAACCTTCATCAAAAAAGACTCCACTCCGTTGCATATGCTACATAATTTTGCTGGTTTGAATTAAAACGCAGAAGTCTAGGACTAAGTGCAAGGCGTTTTGAGGCTTACAGTCGACTCCCTCTTAACGGACACCTCTATAAGACGGACACCTCTGTAAAACGGACACCTAGAGTTGGTCCTTGCCTTTCTTTATTCCCTTTATTTGACTCTCCATAAGACGGACACCTCTCTAAGATGGACACTTGGTGCCGGTCCCAAAGGTGTCCGTCTTAGAGGGAGTTGACTGTACTAGTACGCATCAGATCTAGAACTCGAAGCGGACCAATGATAAATTTAGATGCTGGAAGATTCTTATTCCAGCAAAAATACTGTCTGTGGAAATGTATATTACAGTCACAGTGCAACCTCTAATTTATAACGAAGTCCTCGGTCTAATTCGAACTATTCTTTGAGGAATAGTAAAATACATGGCAATATTAAAAAGGACCTCGATATAAGTTAACGAATCGAACCTCGTTATAACGAAAATATTTTGCCAGTCCCTTGGCCCTTTGTTATATCGTGGTTCCACTGTACTAAATTTTATTTATATATATTTCAAAAGTGGGCCCCAGCCCCTCCTTCTGCGCGGCCTGAAAATCTACTACCTCACTGGCACTAGCCCTCTGCTATCGATGGTCATCTCACGATAGCTCAAGTTCCTAGCCCCATTTTTCCCACGTAGAAGGCTGAACCTGTCAATATGTACGCGTTGTATGAGTCCTCCTACGGGAGAGAACCCCACGGCAGGAAGTCCATTTCCAAGCAAGTCTAGGATCGACTCAAACAAGATCGAATTTCTCTGAAGATGGCATCGTGCTCCCTGCCCAAATAAACCGAATCAGTTGGAGACACCTTACAGTCGACTGCTTTTCAGTCGACTGATGACGATGATGTTGATGATGATGATTTTAATAGGAAAGGCATCATAAAGTCCTTGCATGGCATCCCAAAGTAAACTAACTCTCGCCCCATAAATTTGTAAGCTTGACATTTATAGGACAGAGTTCCTGTTCTAGATCAAGACACCCGATAAAGGTTGCATAGCTATCAAGTAATTTTCTCCTTGAGAAGTTGCCCTGGACCTCCTTGGAACTGTTGGCTTTGCCGTGGAGGTATGACTATTCACTAGCGGGTTATCTTTACAATGAAAAAGAGATTTACGAAAGTCTTGTTTACCCAGAATATACATACAAGGATTCAGCAGCGATGCAAGGAACCTAAACCAATAGATCACATATACCAAGGGTAAGGGAATTTCTGAGTAATCTACCCTCCGAAGTGCAAAATAAGGAAGCCAACAGATTATGTACACACACAACATGGCGGCAAAAATTAGGACCGCTTTTCTTTCATGACGTCTTTGTTTCCGCTTGTTATTCAAACACGGCACGCATTGTTTCTGAATGTTTTGGCCCTGTCTAATGATTTCAGTGAAAATACAAATGTATGTAAAGCTCATGAAGATAAATGGAAGTCCAAAAAACAACACGAGAAACACAATGTCGTAAATAAGTTCGGCTGTCATGACGTAGTCAGTTGGTTCTTCATCCAGATTGTGGTGGAATGGGTCGAGCCAAGCGAGCTGTACTAAAGCAGTAACCTCTGACAACAGCCAAATGAGCAGGATAACCAGGATGCACCTGGGTCGTGTAACGAAAGTTGTGTAATGGAGAGGATATATTATGGCCATATATCTAAAAGAAGTAAGACAAGTGGAATTCACAAACTAACTACTTAAACGTTAGGTGGGCTTTTCCCTCAAAAAATGGGTGGGGCGGGCAAGAAATGAAATACTGAAAATATCAGAAGAGTCGAGAAAGCGGACTTTTCCAGTACAGCCTTTATGCATGTACAGTTTGTCATTTATACCGCTCTATAAACAGAAGTTTTACAAATGTTACTCGCTGTCCCCTTCAGAGAAATCGGAGGAAAGCAAAAAATTTACCATAGCCAGTATCTGTGACAAAGAGGAAATCTTGTAAAGAAGTTAACCGCGGCAGGATTAGCTCAGTCGGTAGAGCGCTTGACTGCAGAGCGGGAGGTCGCGGGTTCGATTCCCGGGGCCGGACCAATACTCAGGGTCTTAAAATAACTGAGAAATGAAGGTACTCCCTTTGCCCTGCAGGCGGCTGGACCTTCGCGTGGCTCGGATGATCACGTAAAATGGCGGTCCCGTCTCTACTAGGAGACGTAAAAATATAGTGTCCCCAATTAGCACTTTCGTGCTAAATACATTGACACTCAAATTAAGTGCATTTTTTTTGTAAAACTTTTCGTTTATCGTCAAGAGATATAAAAGGTCGCCCAAGATCCGGGCCAAGATCGCGCGCTGTGAGGTTACGCATAATTGTAGCTTTTCACATAGCGCTAATTTATTACACCCAGGATTTTAGGGTGTACGAGGGGACATGTGACCAGCCGATGCCAGGGCCTTTTCCCGCCCCACCCATTTTTTGATGGAAAAGCCCTGGGGACGAGGTTGGTGGGCCTGCAGACTGATAAAATCCTAGTGGTTACTATAATTCCAAACTAAATTCTTCAGTAGTACTTATACAAGTTGCTATTTCTTGTAACATTTACGCCTATCGACGAAATCCTATGATGAATCCTCTTCAGTAGCACAACCGGTAGCAGAAAAGGTAAAGGTAAAGAGTCTTAATTTATTTTACTTCGGTGTGGCTCGAAATGGTTATCTGACTAGCAAACCTGAGGCTAACGGTGCGTTCATTTTACACTCCCCCCCCCCCCCCCCCCCCCCCCCCCCCCCCCCCCCCCCCCCCCCCCCCCCTCCCCCGGTCGCTCCTCGCCCGCGCGGGCGATCTGTCTTTTCTTTTTTTTTTTTTTTTTTTTTTTTTTTTGTTTTATTTTTTTTTTATTTTTTTTCTCTCTTTTTTTTTGTTTTTCTTTTTTTTTATTTTTCCCCCCCCCCCCCCCCCACCCTTCTCTCTCCCTTTCTCCGTAAGAGTGTTCCGTTGTTGACGGGACCTGAATGGTTCTAGCTGTATATTTATTATTGTTATAAGTTTTTTTTTTAATTTCTCAAGACAAGGATAAAATCTCAAGTTTTGTCCTCATTTTTTTCGCCATTTTTGGAAGACAAATGATTATTTGGCAGAAATTTTAATTTTACCTGTCAGTCGTAACAGACAGCAGGTGACATACGATCGACGACGAAATAAAACGAGACATCTGATCTTGAATGATGCAAATCACTGATTGGCGAACGATGTTACACGTGATAAAAAGAGGCACCGAAACCAGGCCTGTTAAGAGGTCAGAAACTGCCAGGCTGCAAAGCAACAAATTGGTGATCGATCGAAGGTATTTCTTTCGTGCCATTAGCACCAGAACCAACCCGTTGACTAACACGATCAACACAGCCAGGAAGATCGGAAGGACATCTGCTTTCGGATCAAAAGAGCCTTCGTAAAATTCATGCCGTTCAGCAGCTTTGGTGATAGAATAAGAAAATATACTTGTCAAAGAATTATTCATTCCTACTGTCTGTGCTGTTTACTTTTCTTAAACAGATTTTTCAATTTTCATCAATTCTGTAACACTCCTCCTCTACAAAATATAGCCCTTATATCCGAGGTGCAATCTAATCTTTTAGTTGATTGGACTAATCTTAGGAGTCTTTTTTGATATGTTCTTCAGATTTCATTTTTAATCTATACATTTATTGCTTTTTATTCCATTTCAAAGCTATTGTATTAGCCGTAGTATATTATGGATTTCCTAGCCTAAAGGCTTACCTTCGGACGTGTTATCTTGAGAGCTGATATGCGCCATGACGAAGTAATCTTTCGGCAAATGTCGGGGAGCGGTCCAAGTTGCATTAACTTCCCGTCTTAAAATAACAAAGAAAATGGAGAATGACGACCCGAAAGCAAACAAAAAAATAAAGTCAAATCAAGATATTTAGTCTACTTATAACAAATATTAAAAGAAACTATGAACTCAAAGAAGAAAAAAACTCAAACTCACTGCGTTTTCAATGCTGAATACACCAGAAGCCTAGTAGAACTTGGATTCAAAACAGTAATGAAGCGTTATGGCTTAAGAATGTACTGCTTGCTTTCAATAGAAGATGGCTTTCCTATTCATACGCAAAAAGATTTTTTTCAATGTGAGGCGATGTTGAATCGGAATCAGGTATTAATGACATAGCAACAAATGTATTTTCCATTAGTTTCAGTTTTGAAGCATTTTTAATTCTTCCGGAACGAAAAGTGTACGCTATATCCAACAGCCAATGAAATCAACTTCTTGCTTTGTTAATTAGACATTTAAAATATGAGGAGCAACAAATTGCTGACCACTTTCACGTTTAATAGAAAATTTAAATAACTAGAACATATCCATTAGCTGCACTTTTACAAAGAATGGCTCGAGTAGGTAAGAAGTAATTATGTAAAAAAGAAACCAGTTTTTTATGGCTCATACTCATTTTTATCCCTACTGAATTGTGCTCTACATAGGAAAGAGAACTTTTTAGTGAATGAAATACAACGTAAGTTGACCGCGATATTAGTCTGCGTCAGCTGAATCTTAATTAAACCGCACATGTCATGTAACGGCTTTTAAAACAGCATAAATAATAAATAAATAAATAAAATAACGTACTTGTGGTAAATAAAGTAAGTCCAACAGAGTACTTTCCTAGCAAATTTTACTTGTTGCTGTTAGTCTCCTTATATTCTTTGATCTAGTAGAAATTAATTTTTTAATATGCACTCCTTTCAGTTTGCGAATACAAGTCATTTTCCATTAGCACTCTGGCACGAATAAAGCAATTGCTGTTTTGAAAGCTCACAGTGGATATAAACTATGTTGTGTGTTACTATTTATTCTAACACAAACACATCACTTATACCGGATAACTATACTACCACCTCGGAATCAGGCCTTGATTTGCAAAAAGATAAGTCCCCCTCAATTCGCAATCGCAATCCCATGATCCCCATGCCATGGCCATTCTGCCACCACCCGCTCGCTTTGTATCACGGTACTGAATTTGCAGCACGCCGAAGCACGCTGAGCTTATTCCGAGAACTCCGTAACGAACAGTTATACTACTGGGCCCGGTCCACACGTATCCAGAAAGTTTTAAAAACGAACATGTTTTTCTTCCATTTTAGCCTTCCAACTACACTTAAACGGCGTTTTCAGGTACCAAAAACGCAGGTTTTCTAAATTTTTCCCAAAATTTAGAGTTTTTTTTAAACACTGGCTTACAGTTTTTGAGTACGACTGATGTCATACTAGTCATACGGCGCATTGCTTGTAAGGGATGCTATCATATTTCCATTGTTTCATCAGCGTTTTCGAGTAGTGGACGTGCGAAAACGATTCGAATACGGTGTATAGACACAAATTTTTCGGAAAATGAGAAAAAAATATTTGTTTTCAAAAAAAAATTCGAATAGGTACGTGTGGGTGAGGCGTAAGGATACAAGTAAGACTAATACTGTAACCAAAAAGGCTTATTTACTCCAAGTAGTGAAAGAGATGTCAAAGAGTACTGCGGTCACATTAAAGCTAATAAGTAAAGAAACCTGTCAGAACTCATCACACTTTTTTCCTTTTTATTTTTCGTTACTGAAAGACATGCACAATGCCGGTCAAATTCTAATTTACGGTTAAATTTAATTTAGGAATATCATCTTTTACTCATCATTACGAATAACGCATGCAGTAAGGAGCTTGGACTTTAATTATAGTGCTCTACTTAGATAGGCACGAAATAGCCTGGGCAGATAGAATAAATACTTAGTCAAGGGCTTTGGGGGGAGGGGGGTATGGGTGATTTCAGAAAAAAAAAAATTCTGCAGACTGATTTCGAGGGAAAAAAAATTGTTGCAAGGATATATACCTGACGAAAACAAATTCCTATAATAGTGAAAAAAAATTCTTACTCCGTTTTATGTCAGGAAAAAATTCTATCACCAGCTGAGGTTTGGGAAAGAAAATTTACCCAAACCAAATCAAAAGTCAAATGGTGAGCGTCAAAGTCTACAATAATGTTCTTACTATGACTTATGAGCAACGTATAAGACCAGTACTGAACAATATTCTCCGATAATAGATGCCGTATTTGAGACTACAGAAGATATTTTAAAAGGCGTATCAAATGGAAAAATTTTCTACATTTTAAAAACTTTATCCGAAATAATCGCTCTTAGCAAGAAACGATCTTTTCACATGGCTGTGACGTCACAGCAGTTCATAAGTGACAACTGCATGGCGAATAATGCATTGTGACGTGACTTAAGGGTACATGCACTCGCTCTGGGGGAACTTATTATATATAGGGTTTGGCCACTGATGGCCGCACTATTTGAGTCGGTATTGCAAGACACACATGCCAAGAACTCCAAAGGTTCATTAACCTTAAACCCCTAAGAGTGATAAGAAACTAGTTTCCCCCAAAATATCACTATTTATTATAATGGGAACAAAGGATATTATAGCTACAGTCGAACGCCGCATTACGAACACCCGCCTAATACGGACACTTCGTTATTACGAAGACTTATCTTTGTCCCTGGGGTAACCCTTACATTTTCTCTCAATTCAACCCGCTTAATACGGACACCCGTTAATGCGGACAATGGACACTTGTTTCTCGCCCAGTCAACAGATTCTCATAAAAAATCAACCTGGCTAATACAAACACTTAATTATCAACATTTTTCTGTAATATAACTTTCCTTCCAGTTGAGAGTATTTCGATATTCCCAACGCTATAGTACACCTGATACGACGATTTATAGTCGCTAATTTTAGACTATTTTGGCTTCCTTATTAGAGTTATGCAGAGGACAGTTCTGATTAAGAAATACATAGATAAGCAATTTTTGAGTGTTTTCGTGGATTTAGCCCGCAGAAAAAGGGCTTTGTGAAGGTTAGAGATGTTTAACTCGACGATATCCTCGTTTATTCCCTTAGTATTTTCTACTATTGAATTCAAAAGACTTTAGATTCGAGGACGAGAGCGTCTACGAGTACGAGATTTCACTGAAAGGTTTTTCGCGTATTCTCAAAATATAGATATCCCGGAGAGCTTCATTTTACCATTTTTCACTAGAAAAGTTAAAACAGTTATCTTTAGTGAAGGAGGTTACGCCTCCTCCAGATCGAAAAATGATAAAACTTCTAACACATGACATCTTGTTCCCGCCACTTCGACATTCTCGCTAAAACTCGTAGTAGAGTGACGACGGCTAACACGTTTTCCCGCCAAAATGACGCTGGTTCACGCGCTAGCACTACTTAGTTTTGACAAAATTTCGTTCTCGTAGTCGTACTCGTCTTAGAGTCTAATAATACGGACACTTTTTGTGGCTCCTTCATTGTCCGTATTAACGAGATTTGTTATCAGCACCAGCAAGAGAGGATAATGGAACAGAGGAAACGCCCAGTCTAGCCCTTGGGACATGTGAATTTCACCAAAGTTATTTTGGACCAATTAAACGCTTGAAAGTTCGGAAGATGGTTTTCGAAGCGAGAAGTCCGAAACCTTTTTTTCAGGGGAGAATTCAACAGTGACCGTTACAATTTTCTGCACCGTTTGCTATGAGACAGTCGCGAGTGAACTTGATGACGTAAAACAGTCGATTAACATGTGCGGACGTCTCAAGAATTAGACTTCCTTTTAATCACAACCTCTAAGAATAACTTTAGTGAAATTCACTTATCCTGGCCAACGCCCAAAGATTCCATGTTTGTACCATTGTTCCTTCTTGGCACCAAAGGAGATGTGTGGAAAGGGTGTGAGGAATGTGTATACTAGTATTCAGGGCTTAAGTCGTGTTAAACAGTAGTTGTCTTTACAGATGAGTGCAGGGAATTTGATCTCAGCCGTGTAAAAAGGATCCTTCGTGAAGCACTGATCGCTTGACGAAAGTCTCGTTTAGCAAGAATAAAAGCACATGGATTAAATATGGAGGTAAAAAACCTCAGATAAATAAAAAGATAAAGAAGTATGGGGGGAATTTCAAAAATGTCGTAACCAAGGTTATCGTGAACGCGAAGAGCAAAGAAAGGCAACCAGCAAATCACAAACACAAGCAACATTATAGAAAATATGATTACTGCTCTCCATTCACTGTGAGTTCGTCTCTTAGTCTCCAGCCATCCGGGATTGTTGTAACGCTTTATGTGACGATATTGACGCAAAATTGCCATGAAAATGTCGGCATAAACAACTGTCATGATCACAAAAGGCAGCAAGAAGTATAGTATCAGCAAAGTGACGTCATAACGGATTTCATGTTTCATGATGTCATCATCCACCTCATCGACATCCTCTCTTTTGTAGTTTATCCAAGCGAGCTGAATAAGAGAGGTGAAAATAGAGGAACACCATATGAAAGCTGAAGCAATGAAAACTCTCCGTTTGGTCACAACTACGTTATAGCGCAGCGAGTGCTTTACACCGATGTGGCGGTCTATGGTGATGGCAAGCAAGTGGGAGATTGTAGACACCGATGTGAACCTCATCATCAGTTGGGACGCAACGCAAACTGGAGTCTTCCTTATGATGTCACAAGCTACGTGTGATGGTATGCTAAGTAACCCGGTGAGGAGATCGGAAAAGGCCAGGCTACTAAGGAGGAGGTTCATGTTTGTCTGTAGGTTGGGAAATGTTTTCACCAATGAAATTGCCCATGCGTTTAATCCAATGATAATAACAGCACATATTAGTGGTGGGATGTGATACACAGGGTCGAATATCCCGGCATATTCATCAAATTCTGTGTCGTTATCCACAGTATCAGAAATAGTAGTAAACACTGTTGTACTGTTCTCGATCATTCTGAGTTTAAACCTCTGAAAAAAAAACGGAAATAATAAAGTGTTTAACGATATCCCCGGCTGTATCGTATGTTGCTGAGAACAATTCCTGTACGCTTTAACCAAATTTACATGGCTGATGGATTGATAGTGACACACCAAAAAAATAACTTACTAAAAACATTGAAAAATTAAAACAACCAAATAAAGTTACCATCTGTCGGCAAGTCAAAGTTTTATGGAGGCCCGTTCTGGTCAAAATTAATATAATAAAATGGCATCACAAGTGACTTTTTTGGCCAGTGCAGCATTTATTATGGACCCGTTGTGTATTTTTGTCATCACTACACAGGATTTTTTTAGTGTGTTGCTAATTTTTTTTAGCTGCATGAATTATTTTTTATTAAGACTGTTTACTTTTTTTATGTTGTTGTATGAAAAAAATTTTCATGCGCACTACAAATAATTTTTCGTGGTACTGCGAATTATTTTTTATACAAGTATTGAGAATTACTTTTTCATCGTGCTGATAATTATTTTTCTCTGTATCGCGAATTTATTTTTGGGCCTACAATGCTTTGCGGGCCTTGCAGTTAAATTAAGCGGACTGGTTCGAGTCTTTAACTTCCTTGGGCGACCATTTTGAAAACTTTGAAGTGGAGGAGTGCTTTCAAAGAGAATGCCAAGGCGAAAAATTGTCAGGGAAAGAAACAAGGGGTTTTCATCTTTCTTACAAAATCTGTCAGGAGCCAGTAGTCTGTGCGTTCGTGATGAGGTTTTCTGGACCGAAGATTTAATAGAGGAGACTACGAAGCGACTTCACGACGCGTATCCAATTCTAACCCTTATTAAACATGACATTTCGGCCCGATTGAACAGTTCTCTGCCCAATCTTATACCTCGAGTCTTCGTACTACACATGCTGGCTTTCGGAACGAAGATGCTGTGAATGAGAGTGCCCCTTACCCTGAACTTCAGGAAGGATCTCCCGATTCTAATCCTGACGGGCGGGCATAAGAACTAGAAGAGCCAAATGGTTACGAGGTAGAAGATCTTCGCAGAGTGCTAGTCAGAGTAGACCTCTCTCACTAGCTAACATGGGGAACTTGCTCGAGTGCCTTTACGATGGCAGTATAGTAGTTCACGATTTTTAACATTATGTTTGTAATATTCGGAGATGAACGAGTCTGTCCAACGTCGGATACCTGAGATATATAGCCAATAATGCCATAACATAAATATTGCATAATTCAATCGAATTTGCCAGTTAGTGAGGTCTACTCTAACATAGCACTCAGCGAAGGTCTTCTACCTCAAGTGCATCTGGCTCTGCTTCTAGTGCTCACCCGTCTGGATTAGAATCGGGAGCTTCTTCCTGAACTTCAGGGTAGGGGACACTCTCATTCTCTGCGTCTTCATTCCGAAACCGAGCATGTGTAGTACGAGACGAAGACTCGAGGTACAAGATTGGGTAGAGAACAGTTCAATCGGGCCGACATGTCATGTTCAATAAGGGTTAGAATTGTTTTCGAGTCGCCGGTGAAGTCGCTTCGTAGTCTCCTCTATTAAATCTTCGGTCCAGAAAACCTCATCACGAACGCACAGACTACTAGCTCCTGACAGATTTTGTAAGAAAGATGAAAACCTCTTTCGTTTCTTTCCCTGACAATGTTTCGCCTTGGCATTCTCTTTGAAAGCACTCACCTACACTTGCAAAGTTTTCAAAATGGTCGCCCAAGGAAGTCAAAAACTCGAACCAGTCCACTTCAAATGCAAGGCCCGCAATGCATTGTAGGCCAAAAAATAAATTCGCGATACCGCGAAAAATAATTCTCGGCCCAATTAAAAAATAATTCTTGATATACATTAGAAAAATAATTCGAAGTACCACTGAAAAATAATTCATAGCATGAATGAAAAAAGTGTTCCTATAATTAAAACATATAACTCTTGTTGTTAAAAATAATTACAAACACGCTGAAAAAAGTATTGTTTAGTGATGACAAAAATACACAACATGTCCATAATATTTGCTGCAGTTGGATTAAAACTGTCTCGCGGTGCAATTTTATTGTCATGATTTTGACCAGAACGGGCCTTCATAGAGTTTCCATTTTTCATTAACACCCTTTTCGGCGTGAAAATATGGTGACAAGCTGCTTGATGCCAAAGAGGAGGGCAACTTTAAGGTGATTTTACAAATTATGAATTACTTATCAACGCCGCATTTATTTCTGCATGCAAATGAAGAAATAAAAATAAAGACTTCTTTGCGACATAAACTGGAACTATTCGGCCACTATTTTACGGAGACCGGATTTTAAATGACTTAGTTTTCCATTAAAGACTACGTTACTGACTTTCGTGTTTGTTTGTTTGTTTGTTTGTTTTTTTTGTCGTTGCCACGTTAACATCGATTTGGAGAAAACCTCTGTCTTAGCGAAACATCCAACCAAAACAATTTTGAGGAAAAATACCGTGTCGACATACCGGAAGTGGAAAATTCGATATGGCGATTGAAAAATGTCCATTACGGTCTACCAGAAACCGTATCGAAACATCTTAGGTAGTAACTTCCCTATTAAACGTTTTTATTTTCCTGCTTCAAGATAGGAGAATTTTAACCGATATTTTTATTCAGATGAATTTATCGGTTTTAGTCCGGTTAGGTTTACTACTTCATAGGCAACGAAACGTTTCCTACTCCATGTTGATCGTGTTGTTTTTGACTGATCAGCCCAGTTTTATATTTTTACTGTCAGTGCTTTATCAAGTCCTGCGCGCTATATGATCTCACCCAAAAAAATCGTTTGAAAATTTTTAAATTAAAAAAAAACAGTTTTACCTTGATAATTTTCCTGCGATGGTCTAGTGTTTTGAGACTCTTGTGTGCAGAACAAAATGAAATGAAAGCTCCTCAGGATCTCTCATTAATAAAAGTAGTTCTTAACTTAGATAGCGTCTACATAATATATATGCACTGCTAAAGATGTCTCCGGCTTGTGCTAGAACGCATATCTGCTCTGTTTACATACTCAGATTGAGGTTTTGGCACTTGCTTCTTCCTGCGGCGATGTTTTCTTCTAAAGCTGACGTAAAGAGCTCTTGAAGCGTTTTAGTATGTGGACACATCCAGCAATGTTTACTCCGGGTGATCATTTTACCGGAGATGCATTGATTCATGTTCCGTTAAATGAAACATTAAACTTAAGCCTCAAGGAAAAATTAATATTCGGTCGTCCCCAAAAGTGTGCTTGAAAGAAGGCTTTTAATGAAGGCGCGACAAAAATTACCTTCAAACCAGCTGCAATGAGCGCGCGATACATGTCGTTTTCGCGAACAGAAAAACAACACAGCTATTGAAAGGATTTGTTTCCATGTACAGTCCCATATTATTTAGGTTCAAAAAGCTTCAATGTCCCAAATTTATACAATTATGACTTCAAGCAAAACAAGGGACGTGTCCCTTCAGAACAACATTCTGGAAAGTTCGCGAAGTGAATGAATGGGACGGATGGAAATTTCCTCAAAAAAAAAAAATTCAAAAAAAATTAATCCTAGCAGCTGGAAAATGATTTTTTGAAAGAGAGCCATTCAAGGGAAAACTCCACAGATTGCGTTTGTAAAATCGAATGAGACTAAGTACGTCTTCCGGGAGGAGTTTTTCGGAAAATGGGCGATCTTTCCTAGATAGAGACATATTCGTCGTAAATTTCGAGAAGGCGTAAAAAAGCCGTGTTCCAGTCGCTTCGTAATCGAAGCGGTATATTAAATGTCGTATGGAAAGCACTTAAGGAGTTTAAATTGTCTTTTACAAACAAAACACTGCCTAAACCTAAAAAATTGTTTCTTTAATTACATTTGCGACATCATATGCTGAAAAAGGCGAAACACACAAATACAAAAAAACTCGTTTCCATTGTGCATAGTGAGTCAGTTGACACTGCAAGTATTTTTTAAGTTCGCCGCCAGGCTATCATGGTAAGCGAACATATATGTTTATAGCGATCTTTGAAATTCCCGCAAGAGTTGTTTATAAATATCGAATATTAATCAAAGTGAAAGTGAATCCAGTTTTGTATGTTCTCTTTCTGACAGAAAGGCTAAAAACCAAAAACCCGTTTTTTTTAATTTCATCGACAAAAGATCTAAGCCTTTTGCACGTTAAAGCCAAAACAATCTACTTCAACTTTCATAGCCCGTACTACCAATTGAAAGTATAAAACTAATATATAAATCAAGGTCATGTTAATAGCAGGAATTGTTATTATGGTTTTGCGGTAAGACCAAACTTCTAAAAGCCTATAGTTTCTTGTATATTTTGATATTTGTTCCATTTAACTGTCTACCGTCTATTCATTATCAGAGACCTTTCCGTATTATACTACTGACAACACATATAGCTACAATTAAATGACTTATTTTCGATGCAAATCCATTATTTTTTGGTTACCTTTCTAAATGTTCTCTCAAGTGTTATTTAAAGCGGGAAAGCTGAAAAAAGCATGTACGTGCCTATTGAGCGAATCAAATTGGTAAACTTTTAAATGAAAATTTACGTCGTCCGTTTGCGTCATTCGAGCGGCAATATATTTTCACTCTTCATGTCAGTTGGCATGATTATACGAAACTTATTTTCACATTCAACAGTACACGCTAGACAGAAATAGGCTAAAATTCTTTTTAGCCCAAGGCAGCCTGAAACGTCTAAATTCAGTTTCCCAGTCAAAAACCTCGCCGTGAAAGTACGAAAACTATACCGCCAAGGAAGTGACATCGATTACTTTGTTTTTTAAGTGTTTTTTTATCTAGTAATAATCAGCAAGAAAAAAGTATGGTTTTTAAATAAAGAAAAAAAAACCCAAATATTCTTACATAGTATTATAATTTCATCTTACCAGCAGATAAATTAGCTTTGATAACTCAAGATGTAGCTTTCGGCTAGCGGCTGGCTTAATAACATTCACTGAAAAAAA